AAAAAAAAAAAAAAAAAAAAGACATTGCTTACTGGGAAGATTCAAGGATTTTAGGAGTTGTGTGGGAAGAAACAGGAAAGGAAGACAAAAACATATTTCATATTTCACAGAACTATACCTTGCTCCAGGCAAGATGGTCCTCAACACTGTCTATTGAAAGGGCAATCAACTTAACATTCCTCTTGGCAAACTCTGGTGCCAGCTTCGCTGCTCTGCCAAGCTCTGTGGTGCACACAGGGGTGAAGTCCCGTGGGTGGGAGAAGAGGATGCCCCATCTGAAACAGGGAAAAGAAGGTCACAACTGAATGAACAGTTACCAACACTATACAGAGGAAAACAACATTTGCATCTAAAATAGGCTTTTTAAAAAAATGGAACAGAACAATACATATTTTGTTTTTGTGGTAACCTGGGCCTTTCTTATTTTGAGACAAGGCCTCCTCATTAAGTCACTAAACTGACCCAGCTGGGCTCAAACTTGGGCTCCTTTTGCCTAGCCTTCCAGAGTCCCGGGATTACAGATGTGTGCTACCACATCCAGTTGTTATCAGAATCTCCTGGCTGTGAAATATTATTGGATAGCTTCTTCTACAAGCGGCTCGCCAGTTAAATGTTACTGGGTTCTGGGTTGCTTGCCTCTCCTTCTGGAGCTAAGATTTCAGGATCTTCTGGTCTCGAACAAAGAACTGAATGAAATGTCTAGAACGCAGTGGCAAAGTTTATTTGAAAAAGTGAAGAATGAGTAAGAAACGGGCTCTGCAGAGTGAGCATGGGCCTAGGAAAAGAGGAAAAAGCAAGACAAAAGTACACCTTGAAAAAGCAGGGTGGGCTCTGTGAAGAAAGCCAGGATAGCTAGGCTTTGTTTTTAAACAAATGCCTGTAAACTTTTAGAAGTTTTCAGTTGAGAAGTCCATTTTAATCTTCCCTCCAGAAAGCCTTTGCTGACAACTCAATTCAAACAACAACGCAAAATTCAAGATAGTTATTTAAAAAGATTAATTTTAGGGTGCTGCCTCTTTTAATAACTATGGAGCCTCCCTCACTCCTTTTTGGCTAATAAAATGCTACTCAAACCAAGTAGCTTTGTTTTCTTTTTCTTTTCTAACCTATTTTTTTTTCCTAGCACAGATCTTAATGTTCAGCCCCCAATATGTTCTAAATCCAAGCAGATGCCCTATTTTTAAGAATTAAACAGATTATGTAACTGAAACAAACAAGTTTCTATCATCTATTTACAAGTAACATTAAGGCGGGCACTTGGCTTTTTTGAATTGAGGGGATATAAAATCCTGTAAAGTAACCTGCCAAAAAGGTCACCCAATGGAAGAAAGCAACAACACTTTTTCAGTTTCACCTATCTCTTCATCTGCACTTTCTTTTTCTTCTTGTTTTAGACCAGGTAGGCAGGTAGAAAAACTGAAAGCCTACAATGGAGATTTCTGCAGCTACTATAATTTTTTTTTTGGTTTTTATTGAGTTTATTGGTACATTCTAGGTATATAGTACAATTACATTCATTACTGGGATCTTGTACCTTTACAGGACAGGTCTTGGTTCTCATTTTTTCCCCTTGTCCCTGCCTTCCCTTCACCCCCTCCTCTCCTCCCTGTTTACAAACACTTTATTTCCATTTTTTTCATTTTCTCATATTTTTTCCCTTATTACCTTTCCCCTACCCTTCCCACTTTCCCTACAAACCTTTAGCCCTTTTCTTCCCATTTCACATTGTTAATTATCTCATTAGAATCTTGTGTACTATTATAGTTCTTCACACCAGAGAAACTATTCAGTATTTACATGTGTGACTTATTTATTTCACTTAGGAGTATATCCTCCAAATAAATACATTTTTCTATGAATGAATCTAATGTTTCATTCTTTATGGCTGAGGAGTATTCCATTTTATAGAAAAACCACATCTTCTTTATCCAGTTTCCAACTGATGGGCAAATGGGCTGTTTCCGTGTTTTAGCTATTACAAACTGTGCTGCTATAAACATAAGGTGCACATATGTCACTATGATATGATTCTTTTAATTCTTTTGGAAAGATACCCAGCAGAGGGATGGCTGGGTCAAATGGAACCTCTAGTCCCAGCTCTTTGAGGTATCTCCATATTGATTTCCATAGTGGTTGCACCAGTCTGCACTCCCACCAACAATGGAGAAGGGTTCCTTTCTCCCCACAACCCTGCCAACATTTGTTATTGGTTGATTTCTTGATAGCAGCCATTCTTTGTGGGGTGAGGTGGAATCTCAGTGTTGTTTTCATCTGCAGCTCTCAAATGACCAGTGATGTGGAACATTTTTTCATATATTTAGTTGCTGCTTTTATTTCTTTGTCTGAGAAATGACTGTTCATTTCAGATGCCCATTTTTAAATTGGGCAGGTACTATAATTCTTAGGTAACCACAAATATCTAAATTATCATCGTCTAAGGTTAAACATATAAAGATTTGTGGCATGCTTCAAGCTGAGTCACCAGGAAACATTCCAAGAAACTCTGGAGTGCCATTTTCTTTTCCCTGTCAACAGAAACTATTTCAACTGTAAAAGGAAGTTTTAACACACAGTTCTCTATACTCCCATTGGTTTAAGCCATCAAGTGTGAAGATTTTAGACCAGGTCACTAAGTGTGGTCTAATCTAGTAATTTGGGGGGGGGTACTGGGGTGATTTTGGCACATTTCACTGAGCATAATGAACAAAGCTGACAGGGCCACTACCTTCCCACCCAAATCTTGTCACATACACCCACAACTCAACTCCCAAGGCTTTAGTAAAGGAAAAGACCATACAAAAAGGATGAAAGGTCCTATGATAAGGCTGGGAAGAAAAAGAGAGGGGAGGGGTGGGAGGGAGGAAGGGAGAGAGAGAGAGAGGCCTGTGGTATGCTTGTTTTTAATAAAGGGCAATAAGAGGGATGTATATATTTTGAAATAAGTAATCTAGCTATGAGTAAAATTTGGAGGTTAGATTCTGTGGGACTGACCTATTTAAAAAGGGTCACAAGAGCCTCAAAGTTCCCAGAATGGAAGTGGAACTGGCCATTTCTTCCTGTGTTGACAAAGGGGCAATGAATTAGAAAGACTTCACTGTGAGCCAATGCAGGCTGTTTTGCTGAATCATGCTGGGGAACTGGTTTTAAGCCATTTCACATTCTCCCCTCCCTCAGAAACCAAACTCCAGTTTACCACAGGGTAAGAGCAAGCAACAGGATAAATTCCAAGAATGTCTTACCTTGGCCTACCTTCCCCACTGTTTCCAGCCTGCTGCTCTTAAGTGTAATTCAATTACATTATCCAATTTCCTTCCTTCCTCATTTTCAAAAGACAAAATGTTTCTTCCTTTTAAGAGAATGGACTCCATTTACTGAGCCCCCCAAATCCTGGTACAGCTCTGCTTACAGAAGAGGTGCTATGAAGAAGCTGCTAGCACATACAGAAACAGTAGTAAGGCTCAGTAAACTCATCAAATGCAGAAACCAAAAATCCTTTTAGTTGTTTCCAATCATCACAGGTAGGATAGATTAACTTAACTTTTGAAATTACAGTATTTTAATGTTTTTCCTCCAGAAGATAACCTGGATTAAAAATTGACAGTCTACCCTGAAATACACAGAATGGAGTTTGGGAAAACTAGCCAAAAATCCACAAGTTACAATGACACAAAGGGTTGAAAGCTCTTTCCAGACAGGGCAGGAAATACCTAGGCAAACTTGTACATACAATTGATATTTTTCTCATCTTCCTACTGGTGGTTCCCTGAGAAGATTTAGTCAAAGCTAGATAGATCCAGAGGTCAATAAACAAACACAAAGAACCAAAAGGTATGGTTAGCTTAGTGACAACATTTATAATTGTTGCTAAAGTAAACATGCTTTATGTTAATACTGATCTCTAATCCACACAAAAATTAAGAGCTCTGGTAAGATTTTGTTGCCTGGAAGTGAAGGTTGTAGATGGAAACGGGTAGGAACACGCTGCAAAAATCCTATGGAGTTTTAGAGAAATGTTAGTATCTAGATTCTGTATTCCTAAAGTCTTCTGCGTGAGAGCTTCATTTATCACCCTCCTTCTAGCATGACCCTTTTGCAAAGCTTAATTTTCCCTTAATCAGTAGCTGGAAAATGGACTTTAAGAGACTAAAGGGTAGATTAGGCTTGATGTGTAAGAATCTCTCCCAGATTTTCTGTACAGCCCTGCTCAGTCACCGATTAATTTCATAAGCTTCTCTCTCAGCCTCTCTACAAATATGCCTCGATCTTGGATATATAAAAAGGATACAAAGCAAGGAGGACTTGTCCAGCCAGGGAGCACCAGAGCTTGGTGGGACTTGGCGCTCCAGAACCATAATGTAATTAGTCAAGTCTTGGTATGTTTCTTATTGAAACTTAGCAATTTGCAGTGACACCTACTTACTTCTCGTTATGGTAAAACTGTTATAGGTCACCAATCTGGCTACTAATTGCAAGCTCGCGAGCTGGATGCAATGCAGGAGGGGGAGGGGACCACTTGGCAAACAAAAGGGCCTGGAAGTGAGGAGGTACAAGTCTCCGGGCGCCCAAACCGGCCTATCCTGGCAAAGTGAGTCACTGCAGCTGAACACCCCTTCCCTCAAATTGCTGGAAGTTCTGGAATGCAGGACACACTACACACAAAATGTTTTTGGTTCTCCTGAAGGCTGTTACATCAAATCCTATCTTTGGCCGCTGGAGGAGACGCTACACAAAAAGCCACTCACTTGGCAGTTGGTGGTTTTAAATCTTAACACTTTGTGTCCATAGGTCTGTAAATACCACTGCAACAGGCAGAAGCCTCAGATAACACGTTGGGGGCTTCCCTCAGCTGCCTTCCTCCAACTTTGCCGTTAGGCATCGGCTTCTCCAAGGGAGCAAATTCCAGAAGTGAGGGCGGGAGGGAGGAGGAGTCCCGGGAAGTGACCGCCCATAACCCCCTGCCTTTGCCCACCCCCCACCGGGCCTCAGCCCGACCGCACTCCTTGGACAGTCGACCTAATCCAGCACGTTTCCAGGCCTGCAGAAGCCAGTGTCGCCTCCCTTCCTCAGGGCAGCCCAGCCACGCCGGGGCTGGGCCGCGCAGGACGGGAAGGAGAACTGGGGAAGGCACCGCCGAGCCCCGCACACAGAGGCCAGGGCGGGGGCACTTACGAGTCTCCCAGAAAGTCGTGGAAACGGATGCGGCCGACCGTGGTGCTGGCCTCGAAGTTGGGAGCCTCGTCGCCGAGAAGAAGCCCTCCGGGCATGGCGGCAGCTGTGAGGCTGGGGCAGAGGAGGCCAGGCGCAGCCGCAGCAGCAACTGAACCCGCTGCTCCAGCAGAGACTTTGGGGCCGGGCGCTCGGCGCAGGGTCAGGGG